CCTGGCAAGCAGAAGGGCCTGAGTTCAATACCCGGTTCCATAAAAAAAAAAAAAAGAATACAGAAGTAAGGCTGGGTCTGGAGATTCGGTCACTGCAGCGAACCCTTACAGAGCCACTGCTCCTCTGGATCCGTTCCACCACTGAAACTATAAATCTGAATTGCTGGTAAACAGCACAGCTTTAAAGTGCACTAACTCGATACAAAACTACTACTTTGAGGCTGGATGGCCCTGAGTATATGATGTAATATAAATTTTATTTCCTCCCAACTGGAAAATAGGTCTGTTATCTGTATCATATAATTTTAAAGTGTAAATGATGTCGTTTTACATAGTGCCCAGCACTAGTAACCACTTGATAAGTTATTTGGTCACACATATTAAACACAGATAAACAGAAAACCAATTACTATGGGAAAATGTTTCCCATGCTGTATTTGGGGAAGTTATTGTTCCACGGGCCTCTCAGCAGTTCCAGAGACAGAGGCACTTGTGGGTTTTTGCAGAAAGGACTCACAACTGCTCCGGTACACACCACAGGCCTCCTTTCTGTCCTCAGGGCCAGATTAAGACACTCATTTCTTTTGGTATCTTTCTCAAAATTTCTCCTTTTAGAAAATTCTCCTTGATGAGCTACAAACAACTGTGATATCTAGCCCACTCTTCACTAAAACAGTCAGTGGTTTCCTGACAATGTGCATGTTTTGATGCAATGCTTTTTAATGCTGCGTTCTCCCATCCTTTTCACAGCCCTTGCCCCCGAAGTCTTCCTCTCTCAGGCCACTCCCACTTCACTCGAACCCTGCATCCTCTGCACCCTGCCTATGGGAGAAGCCATATGCTGCCTGTTAACTGACCTAAATCTCCACCCAGCACACAGCAGGAGAAATCATGTGCTGTGCCGTTCTGAGAAGACATCACTGTCACTACAAAGACAGCTTCACCTTTAGGAAAAAGGAAGAAGTCACCAGAGAAGATTCCATTCATTCCCACAGATTAAAGCAGATGCCTGGGTTACACAACAGGACTACCTACACAGCAGGAAAATCTCCAGGGAAATGAGACACACATTTATCGTGCCAGGCTACTGCCACAAGTCTAAGACAGGACCAAGCCAACTGATTTCTCAGCGTGGTCCTCAGGAGTGTCCTTTGTGAGAAAAGGAAGGCAAGTGATACTCCAAAGCTGTGAGTACTAGCACAGAGTCACCTCAGGTGGGACATTTTGGGCTGAATTTCTGCACAGGACAGGGTCACTGGAGAGAGGTGGGGTAAATGTACGCTGATGATAAATAGCCAGAACCTCCAAGGAAGGCACCCAAGGGGGCTACTCCAGAAGCTTCAGGCCCATTAAGCATCTCAACTGGGGACTGCAAAGGAGATGGGTCAGTGGGATGGAGGGAAAATATCAAACTGCAAGTACTTCACTGAGGAGATAAAGGAGGATAATTGGACAAGAAGGAGATCAGGCAGATAGACAGAAGAAATGAGCTTCTGAAAACGTGACATGGCACTTCTCTGAAGGTAGAGAAGAGACATCCATCCATGTGCACGTGCCATGTGTGCCTACGCTGTGCAGTCCTCGAACAGGGTTTTTGCTCTGGACAAGAACCTGAAAAAAGGCAGAGTCACATCAGACCTGGGCAGGTGTCATGGCAAGCTGACAGTGCACAGCACAGTGCCAACACGCTGGTGGTGAGCACTTCTGCAATGTAAACAGCCCCTGACATACTCTGAATCCAATTCTAGTCAAGTTGATAAAAGAAAAGAGTTTGTATATTTAAACTAAGAAGAAAGACTGGAGTCAGTCAAAGTCAAGAGCCAGATCAGTGGACTTTGGATGGTGCACATTCAATAATAGGTGGTAGACGAGAGAATAATAGGTGGGCTGGAGGTGAACATTTTTATTTTAATGGTTACATACATAGTTATTTTGATCTATGGTAGCAAATAATACAGTGAGACCACTAACTTCATGTTTTTAGAGATTTTACATATGAGGATGAGACCATGTAGAGAGGTGGTTTACTTCAAAGTCAACTGAAGTACATTAAGCAAATAACAGGGTTGAGTTACATATTTGTGGCTCCAAGAATGAGTAGAGGTTTATGTAAACGGCTGAAGCTTGAGAAGCACTAAGTAGGCCTTAAACTGCAGTACATTAATCTATGCAATGTGCATCTTCCCCACAAATTACTCCCATAATCTTTATGTGTACTTTAACTGCAAAGATCAAGTTTTCTTTGCCCATGGACCAAAGGGAAGGGAGAAGTGTGTGAAAACGTCACAGCACACTGGCACCTACTAGGCTACCAGTGATCGGGGCTGGATCGCAAGCAGAAGGAGCAGGTCCCACAGAACCTTCTAGTCCCTGCCCGGTCCTGGCAGCACTGACTCTACCACCCTCGCCATGGTGCTCTCCTGAACACCCCAGTACCATTCCAGTTTCCGAGGAAACAAGGTATGTTCAAAACAGATGGTAAAATATACTCACATGTTTTTATGTTTATAGATGATATTTTCTCAAAGAAAGCAGAGGAGCGAGGCCCCTATCAACATCAGAGTGCGTGGAGTGTGGCCTGTTTCGCGGAGTGTTTCCCAGGGCTGAGGGCACAGCCCTGTGGCCTCCTGCCTGCTGCACACTGGGCCCCAGCAGCCTGCTCTGTAGCTTAGGCAGGTCTGCTCTCACTTAACTTTCACTCTGCCTCGTGTGATAAAATTAATCTTGAACAGAGATCTAACTGACTTGCTCCTCATCTCCAACTTCCCTGTGTGCTCCAAATTGTGCTTAAGACCTACCAAGAGGCCGTCTCTGTGCTACGCTGGCCACAAACCCAGCACTATCTTAATCTTAGGGAAACTAAGATACTGGCTGGCCTGTCCCAACCTGCTCTGTACAGTGCTTAGCAGGAAACCTGAGGTGACAGTGGCTTTCCTGGAAACCTAAGAGGTACATTCTTACGCGTAGCCTGATCCTTCACTTGCTCAGCAGATGGGGGTGAGGTCAGGCCTGCTCCAAATATTCCCTGGTATACACAGACAGGCCAGGGCCACATGCAGACCAAGGAGAAAAGAAGCCGAGCCAGATGCCTAAGAGGGATACAGACTGTGAGAAGGAAGCCAGGGCCAACAGTCAAAGCCCTGAAAGTGTACATATCCACAGACCTAGGAATTCTTCCAGGAATTTGTCTTAAGGAAATGATCATAACTATGAGCAGAATTAGAAACAAGAATGATAACAGATTTACTTACAAAAATAAAATTTCTACAGTAACTCAAATGGTACTAAATACTACTTCCTTATTATAGACTCTGAGAACATCTTTAAATGCATTGAGGCTTGGGAGCAGGGTAGATTTACTTTCAGGAATTAGGAAAAAGAAAGACCATTGTTTTTCAAATACAAGGGTATCATAAACGTTTTTCTGACAAACAAAAGAGAACGCTGCCAATCCAGATCTGGAGCCTCTCTTCAAGGCAAAGCAGGCCCCTGTTCTTTCTGTGCCTTTGCTGCACATGGGGCTCAGCAGCAGTAGCAGCAGCAGCAGCAGTAGGAACGATGGAGCCACCACCCAGCATTTACCGAGCACCAGCTCTGCGCCCAGCACCACCAGAAGCATTTCAACCACCACAACAGCCATGTGGCTTCCAGGAGAATTTGAGGCCTCAACTGCTACACTACCACACACACTACACAGCACAGCACAGCACAGCACAGCACAACACACCATACTACACGAGTCTCTTAGCACAAAAGCTGACATAAGACTCTATACTTGGGGCCCACAGTTTGAACACCACAAAGAACTCAGAAATCCTGGAAAACTATTATCCCTATTTTCCTGAGGAGTCAGAGGCCCTGAGATGTGACCCGATCTCCCAAGCCACACACAGCTGGTGAGCAGCAGAAGCAGAATTCCCACCTGGGCGTCCTGGAGCAACAGTGCCTATGTTTAAGCAAGGCATTCTTGTCCCGCCATGGGGACACATCGCGGTATGGGTGCAGTCACTGTGCTGACTTATCCCGCGTATGTGCCAGTCTGCTTCTCTCACCCAGCCTGAGCTCCTAAGATAGACCTTACCTTCATATTCCCAGCCCTACCAGAAACCATGTAAACATCAGCTGCATATAAAATGCAACCTTGACCTGTGTGGGATTAAACAATAACTACTACTGGCAGCAGTGGCTCTTAGTTTTTGGCCTTTGCCATGTTCTCAGCCTAGCAGCAGATGCTGACATCCATCATTTTATTTTATCTTCAGAGCTCCCCTATAAGGTAGGCACTATTGTGCCTATTTTATAGATAAGAAAACTGAGGCTTTTAGAAGAGCTTGAGGTTTCTATTGCCACACTACACAAGTCTCTTACTATAAAGCTGAAACAAGGCTACATATTTTAGGCCCAGTACCAAGTACTACAAAGAACATGTTAGATGTAAAAATTATTTGAGATATTCGTAGTGTAATATTTGGAACAAGGAGGAATTATTCTCTAATTAACTCATTAATTAATTTCAAATACATTTAAGTGCCGGCTCCACACTAAACACAGACAGGTAGAGTAACAGGGCAAGCAGAACAAGGTCCCAGTCTCACAGAGACCCATTCTAGCAGGACACGTGATTCCCTCTAATGAGCATTCAATTACAAACTGAGAAAAGGAGAGGAAACTGGCTCTTTGGTAGCTGCCAACAAAAGAGGGGCCACAGAGGCGACACAGAAGCTGAGCTCTCACTGTACAACTGGGGAGAGAGGCTCAGGTATTAGCTCACAGATCTGGAAAGAGAATCCTCTGTGGCAGGCCCTGCCTTTCATTCACAGCAATGCTGCTTCCTGCCCTATCAGAGTTACTAAGAAATGGATCCTGGAAGGGCACCTTGAGACAGTCCCCAAGAACACAAAAGGCCTGCAGGGCACAGAGGCCAGAGGAGGCCCACACAAGCAGCAGGAGGTGGCAAGGGATGGCTCTGAACGAGACGGCCCTCAGCAGCCAAGACTTACGTTTCTCTGTGGACTGCACGGCGTGGAAAAGTGTCAGGGGTCTCTCGCTGCAAGACGGAGGCTTGGAGTCATTGCTCTTCTTCCGCAGCAGGTGCAGCTGGGTGCTGGTGAGCTGCACATCAGGAACGGTATTAAATATCTACAAATAAAGTTTCACAAAAGGGTCACACACATTAGTGAATTAGGCCTGAATCTGTACAACCAGAAGTTTAGTGGTGATTTAGAATCAGCAGGACAAGACTAGAAAAGACCGGGGCATCTGCTCAGGGATTCCCTGCAAACAGTTCTGGGATCTCTCATTAGGCCCCAGAGTAACCACGTGCTTCCATTCTAACTCCTACCCTAATTTACTGTTTTGTTCTCTTTTCCAGGAGAAATGGAAAGTAGATGATATAAAGGCAAACCACTATCAACTATCAGTTCTTCAAGTTTCCTAACCACTTTTTCCAGACTCAGTCAATCAGAACTAACCAACCTTTCCCCCTCACTCCCTTCCTCTCTCCCTTTTCCCTTTCTTCTTTCCTTTCCTTCCCCAGGCCTTTTTAAATTTTGATAGTCTCACTACATTGCTATGTTGCCTAAGTGGGGCTTAAACTTGCAAGCCTTCTGCCTCAGTTTCCCAGAGCACAGGATTATGTGTGTGCACTGCCACACCTGGCTCTTTCCTCACTGGTCCTAATTCCCTGTTATTAACTGCCTGCTAACTTTCTTAGACCGTGAAGCATGTATTCAACATCAAGAATGACCGTGAGTAGGGTACTGTGTATTCTCTGTAATGCTCTGGCCTTGGGGTGCATCCTTTCTGGTGCAGCATCTCTGGTCTATCTCTGAGTGCTTCCATTTCCTGTTTAAAGGGTGGCAGTGGTAGTGTGTGTACTGCAGGTCCTTTGTTTATGCTTGTGATTTTATTTATGTTTTATGTTAAGTTAAAAAATGCCTATCTCTTTATCTATTTCAGTTTGGAAAACACACAAGTCTCAAGAAGACAGAAAAATTTCCAATTCTACTATTTAGAAATTCTCACAACAGCATTTTATTCCTTTCTGACCTTTATTCCTTTAGGCTATTACTATTATCACTTAAGTTCATGGTTAAAGAATATGAGGAAAATGACACAAAATCATGACAACTTTTCCATTTTTCTTTACAGGATGTACTAGTTACAACATCCAGCACTCAGATGGCACCTGTCATGACTACAGTAGCCACCCCCTATGGCCAGCTCCTGAAGCATCAGTCACGGACTCTCTGCACTGCACGTAGCTCACTCGAGTCTCAGCAATCCTGCATGACAGCCCATGTCCTCAGCACTTTATAAAGAGCACAAAGGGGGTGACATCAGTGGGGTGTGATGGTGCACACCTGTAATCCCAGCACTTGGAAGGCTGAGGCTGGAGGACTGCTGTGAGTTTGAGGCCAGTCTGGTCTACAAAGTGAGGTGAAGGCCAGCCTAAACTACAGAGTGAGACCCTGTCTCAAAAAAGAAAAAAAAAGGGGTGGGGATGAAGTTGCCATAATTATCCATATAATTAAAATGATAACAGAGTATTTTCCAGATTTACTTTAAGTGTATATAATAATACTACGATTCATTCATCTAACTGGAAAAATTCTTCTGAACATACTAAGTGCTCTGGGCGTACCAGGGAATTCATGTCACAAATATGTCCCTGTGGTTAGAGTCTGCATTCCATAACTATGATTTACTAAGTACGTGCTGTATACACCAGTGACTGGGCTGTGCTTTGTATGAATATTTATTTAATGCTACACACACTTTTCCCATCCTGGGAATCACATTCTTTGTACCACTGTGAAGCCTATACACTTTAAAATACTATATTGCAGTATTTTCCTCTTCATTAATTTTTTTAAATGCTGAATAAATCATTTATTTGTAAATCAATAAATACAGATATGCTAAACTTAAAATGTAGACAATCAAAACATTAGTAATCCATGAGCATGTAAAATGAGGCCCAATTTGTAGGGCTGAACATTGAATAACATTTATCACACATGCCATCATTTATAAACTCAATTACTATTACCAGTTCTGCTTATCCACTATTTCCCTGATGATTCTTATTAATTATAGTAAATGGTACATTTTTACCTATATAATAGCACCAGACATAAATAAGAACTTTTGCAAGAGGAGAAAAACTGATCAGTATTTCAGAGTACCTATGTTTTAAAAATTCAATCTTGCCAAATACTTTTCATCCTTACACAAAAGGTACTAAATGAGTTAATGTCCTTACATTTCTTTTTTTTTTCTTTTCTTTTCAAAGTTTTATTGATAAACATATAGCAATGAGACAGTTTCAAATCAATGTCCTTATATTTCTTGCTTTGGTATATGTTCATAAAGTCTGTCTTACCTAGATTTTTAGGCCAATGCAGTTAGGAATTAAAAATACATACATTTATGGGTACATCAGCTAGTTGAAATAAGCTAGCACAACCATTTGAATTGGTTGTCTGCTTACTGGGCAAGGCTTATTTCTTTCTTTTGCTTTTTGCACATGTAAAACATGACAGATGTTTTCATTGCCATGAACAATGCAACCGTTTTGAGGTTGACCTTGGCAAATCACACAGGTTCAGTAGCACTAACGGGAAAACCAGATCCTACACTTTCTTTTTTCTGTCTTGTATTTTTTCCTTCTCAAACTCTTTACCGTCTTCGTGGTGCTATTAATAGTGCTACTAGGAGCTGATGGCTCCTGTGCACTCGGGGTGACGATCAAGGAGGCTCTGCAGGAGCTGCTGAACCCCACTGGAGGAGGTGGGGTCCGCGCTACCCTGCAGACTCAGCTTCATGCTCCATCTTCCAGTCACACTGGGTCACAGGCCCTTCTAAAACTTTTTAAAACATGATACTGAGATATCAAAATATATTGATGCATGGGTTATCATCTCTTACTCTGTTCCACTGCCTTTGTGTGTACATTTAAAAGCAAATTCAGGGGCCAGTGAGACAGCTCAGCAGTCTAAAGCACCCGCTTAGGCAAGCACAGGGACCGAAGTTTGATCTCTGGCACCACGTGCCATGCGAGCCCTGCCCCCAGGGCGGGCTGAGTTGGCAAATAAATAAATGAATAAATAAGCAGGCAAATTCAAGGGTTGTTATAATATAGAAAGCAAAGTCACAAGAATTATAAGAATTGTAGCCCAAACAGCTGCTCTCCCTGGCTTGCCGGGTCCTTGGGCTCTGATGATGCCAGCCAGCTGGTTAAGTCAGTTTTGTTCCCAAACACAGCTGTCTAAAGGCAGCATTACCATATCTTCCTAAGAAGACTGAAAATTTGCAGTAAGGTAAACAGAATCACTACACATAGCTGAGAAGGATTGGGGTGAGGGGATAGGAAGAAAAGGAGATTTAATGACAAAGCAACAAGACATCCCAGCTTCCAGAACAGCTAGAACTCTAACAATTTTAACAGAGCTTTAGGTCTTCAGTGTAATTTTGAGCGACTACAATGAGCTCAAGAACTGCAACCTCTAAGAAGCCTTTCCATACCTCCTCACCTTTGTTCTTCAAACCATGCTGAGCCATGGCCATTTGCGGGGGGCATTCTAACTGTGCACTGTTCTCATCAACATCTTCCAATGGCTCCTACCTATGCAAGCTTTTAGCTGCCAGCCACTGTGCTCAGTGCTTGCCTGATGCATCCTGAAGCTACAGATCAACTATGCACCTGGAATAGGATGACCCCCTGACATGAGAGATGTCCTGACCTGCCACAGGGCTAAGCAACAGAGGGACCAGAAGCAGAATGTGGGGCTTCAGGAGCCATTTCCTCAGTTTGTCCTCTCCAGCCAGTTGTCATAGATAGGCCAGTGTCCCTAAACCAACAAATACAACTTTCAAAAAATAATGGTGTCTGGGCATCCTGCTGCTTCTGGCCGCAGATAAAGCAGCTTCAGCAACCCCTTGTTAAGAACATCTGAAAATGAATTTAGAATCAGAGACAGGCCTGGTTCTCCTATTCCCCCTTCATTCCCCTTTAGTTCTACCTTTAAGATTTTATCTTACTGTGTTACTAAGAATGAGATTCTCTCCCAACTACAATGGAAGCAGAGATCATGTACATTCCTTTTTATTGCAGTGGCCCATAAAAATGGAATATTGATTCTTTCCTAAGAAATGTTGGAGAAACAAATACGTGTGTGAAGAAGGGTTGTGGGTTTAGTCACATGCATGAAAAGTTGCTTCTAGAATAGTACATGGAACACAACAGGAAGAAACATGAGAACACTTGAAGGAGGATTTCCCTCTTCTCACTGCCTATTTTCTCTAAAAGAAAAGTTATTTGAGCAGGATGGAATCAGCTCCATAGGAGGGGATTTTCATTCTGGCGGACAGCTACAATCCCTAAAGTCAGCTCATTGTGAGTCAAGTATAGGAGTCTCAAGAATTCTAGCAGGCTGCTCTTAGCATCAAAACAATACCGCGCAACTGAGCACACTGCGAAATGTAAAGTGCCAGGCCTAGGACCATGGTCATCATTGTTCCACGTTTTCCAAGGTGCAAAAGTATTCTGTAAATTAGGCCAAGCCAGAGTAGGAGGTCATTAAGGAGTCTGAAAAATCATCCTCCAAACTGTTATTGTTCATTTAAACAGTGAAAGTTCAACATATACAATTTGATTTTCCAGCTACCTTCTAGCAAGGCCAAGGGTTTGACTTTGTGTTAAAAGTTCAAGTTGGAATTCTGTCAAGAATATGAGTTATTCACTTACTTTTTGTTGGTTATTCCAATCCTATTTCATTTAGAAAAGATGTTTCAAAATAATCAAATGCAGTCTTCCTCAGGCTGTCAAGAAGAGTCACTGTACAAATGACTCTGCGGAAGGACGGGAGCATGAGCTCACATAAAGCACAAGCAGTAGATTTAGGGAGCCCTACTATGTGGCTAGAACAGACTTCTCACTTCACACTTTCCAAATAAATAAAGAGGGCAGATTCACTCTGTGTCCTAAGTCTCCTCTTAGCATTGTCCAACTTTATAAGCTATTTCCAACTTTGATAAAAGTTATGAGGAAAACAGTCAGCCTGCTGGAAGACCCTGGAGAATATAATGATGAAAATACAACTCTGTTAACTCTTCCAAGCATCCCTAATTCCTTCTTC